TGTTTGATTTCAGTCCGTCGTTGAGTGAAGGTGCTAAGTGTTTGATATAACATGCCTCTCTGAACAACAGACTGAAATCCAGCGGAGAAATGTTTGAAAATGAGGGTATAACTCGGAAATTTTCACGATTCCTATTTTTTTTTCGGAAATTCCGGATGATGTCGCTCCATTCGCCTCTGGGAAATTTCTGGAAAGTCAAACAGGAATTTTTGGTCCGATTGCAGGCGCCCCTACCCTGGTAGGACGTTTTGGTAACCCTTGGTGTAACGGTGCTGGGAAATGTAGACTAAAAGGTCTACAGAACGACCTTCTTACGATTTACTTGGAAGAGAATATGCACGGAGATACTATTACGGAGAATAGGCAAGAAAACCCACAAATTAGATGGGCGCAAAGACGAAAATTTGGAAGCCAAAATATTCGTTCTTTTTACGCGGTTTTATTTCAGTAATGGCGGAAAGTGAAATCACATCACCTTCTGATGCTAACCTGGATTTTGATGATGACACTTTAAAAGGTAAATATGTTCTTTAGAACATTTCAATTTAAAACATATCGCTATAACCTCGTAATTATTTAGGTCCAGTGGTCATTGGAAACGGCTTGATGGCTCATAAAAATCCGGTAGAACTTGAGCCGGAATGCGACTTCTACAAGCAAATCAGTTTATACAAGAAATGATGAGATAGAAGTGTTCACTTGCATATATGTACAAAGCTACCTTACGACCAACTCACCGAATTTATATATAAATTTCTATATGTTTCGATTGCTTGGTCTATACCAAGAACGAGGACCTCAGCTGGTTGAAATCGGACCCTGAGCCACCATTATTTACAGCGATTGCTCTTTCTACGCATGTTCAGAAATCATTATGAACTTGCATGGATGCGCACCATTAAAATGTTAGATGTTTTAGTTCATCGCATCCTCGGAGACTCATGCAGAGGCAGTTAGTTGGGGCGGGACGAGGTAAAACCAGTATAAATTGAAGCGTTGAGAGCTTACGTTTACAAGTAAGGTGGGAAGACCCCTGAAGACTGAGTCTCTTAGTCTCTTCAGACCTCTTCCAAACGGATCAGCAAATGTTGGATCCGGATTGGGCCCAAAAAATCCTTTGTATTTTTGCGCGCAATTTTGGGATGCGCTGTTTGAAGAAAATGTATCTTAGTGTAATTAAAGGGAAGCACGCATTGCTTCTAGCCATGGTATACTTTTTGATAAGAGAAATTCTTTGTGTCAGTTTTAGGCACCCTTAACAAATTTGAACCATTTACTAAATCACCACTTCTTTTTCTTTAAGCGATAGCCAAAGTGTACACAAACAGAGCAGCTGCTCATTTCTGTTTGGGTAAGAT